TTCACATTGAAATGTCACATTATGGAAGTTAAATGAGTTATGAAACAATACAAGTAATTAATTACTGTACATTATTATTATTATTATTATTATTATTATTATCTAGCAATAAATAAAAATAAATTAAATAAACAAAAATTTACATATTATTACATATAATATATAACTACTTTAAATTATATAAATGTATATATTATATATGTAATCATATATGTGTTATATGGGTACTATTTTTATTATTATTATCTAGCTTTATAAAAATATGCATAATTAATATAAATGTAAATATATAAAATGTGTGTGTGTGTTAGTTACATAGGTCCTATTATTATTATTATTATTATTATTATTATATAACAGGAATTATATATTATTATTATTACTACTTTTAAAATGTACCATTTTACATATATGTATGTGTAATATGTTAGTTAAATGTGTTAATATAAGTTCTACACTAATTATAACTCATTTATATTGAAAAATACAATATCTAGGTTTAGAATTACTATATACCTTTATCTGTATCTGATTTAGAACGAGCAGAAATCTGTGAGAAATATAACGACTTAAAGACAAAAGAAGTGATAAAAAAAGCTGTTACAGGAGCAACAGCCTTGTGGGCAGCGCTGTGTCATCTGCCATAGCTGTGCACAAGCTGTTTATCACAGCTCCAGACTTATTTGTTCATTAATGACGTCATCAGCGACTAGTCGACTTTAACTCGACTTTCATCACATAAAAGTCGACTTCAAAAAATCAGAAGTCGTTCAACCCCTAATATATACACACTTTATATATTTATATGATTTATTTATGATATTTAATTTTCTAATCAGCATTTTATTTATTTAATTTTATTTTGACTTGCCATACCAGCATCTATGGCTATTTTCATGGCAAGATCAATGTATTTAAAAGAGACTTGTAACATCCAGTAGTCAGTGTTTTAGTTGAGGGATGAGTTATAGAGTCTTTACCGCTCCCATGATTGAGTTCGGTCTCCTCGTCCGTGGGGTTGATGTGAGTGCGAGGCCAGTACTCCAGCAGAGCCTGCAGCAGCAGCCCGCCCAGATTCACTGCAGCACAACACAACATTAATAACTCATCTTTATCATCTACGGTCATGATAAACGGCTCGGCTCACGTTTAGGGTCGGATCCGTCAGGGCTGGTGAATCCAGCGTCTTTAGCAGAAACCCAGGCTGCAAAGCAGTCGCTCTCGTCCAGCGTTATCGTCAACATCTGTCAATCACAAGCCAAACGATTCATAAAACCTTCACTGAAGATGTGCTTAAACACCGTCCTGCCGTGACGTACCCCTGTCTTCAGATCCACCGAAAACCAGTTCGGCACATAAACCATCTTGAACCTTTTCTTGATCTCGTCATCAAACTCCATCTTGCCCAAGTCTTCGACTTTACAGGCCTGCGAAACAGAGTGAGACAACGGACCAGTTACTCGGATCGATCAGGTGCAGAGAGACACACGTAAACGTTACCTTCAGCACATCCCAATACGCCACGTTATTGTTGGTGTCTTTGGTCAGAATGTGTCGTTTATCGTTCAGAATGTGGCACTGAATTATACTGGCGCCACCTACAGGTCAAAACAAGACATTCACTTGAGGAACTATAATAATTCAAACTAAAACATTAAAAACTATATTATGTAACATTATAAACAAATAAATATGTATGTATGTAATTATTAATAATAATTATTATTAAATATATACACAGTAAATTATAAACTTTATAAAACATACCAATTATGACAAAAAATAAACAAAATTAATTATAACTTAAATAAAGTATAACTTTTATATTGAGGCCAAGACAAGACATTAACTTGAGGAACTATAATAATTCAAACTAAAACATTAAAAACTATATTATGATACATTATAAACAAATAAATATGTATAATTATATATGTATGTGTGTGTGTGTGTGTGAGATTAATATTATTATTAATAATAATAATAATAATAATGT